TTATTCGCGAACTCGGGATTTCTTCGCGTCCTTTCTCCAGAGCTGTTCGAGATTATTCGTCCGTTTGATTTTGTCCCGTATATCACGTTAATTGATCCGCAACGCGGAGTATTTGCTTGTTGACGACATTGGCGCGATACAGGTAGAGATACCGAAGCACGAAATAAGAGGGAAGGGTAGGCAGGCAAAGAGAAAGGGAGAGAACGAGTTTACCTTCTACTGAAATAAATGTTATTTGTAAAAGTATTGAGTCTTCTGTGTGTGAAACTGTTATCCCCGACGCTTACGGCCTTTCTTATGCCGAGTCTTCGATTATAGTCGGTAAATCTGAAGGTGCTCGAAGAAACGACCCGTTCGACGTTCGAAGCAGTATTCCTGTACGAGAACGTACAAGAGAATCTTCGTTGGCTGAAGGTAGAGAGAGAGAGAGAGAGAGAGAGAGAGAAGCGGAGGAGCCGAAGAAACGAACATACCCGGCGTTCGTGTAATTAATGCGGCACGATTAAGCACGAAACGACTAGGTTCCGGCGGCGACGTGGTTGCGTTTTGTTTTAAAACGCCGAGAGTCGGAGATGTTTAGCGCCCTGCTGGGGGCAATCCTGCTCGCTGTGGGAGGTCCTGGCACCCGGGGCCCCCTTCCTCACCCTATCCTAACGATGCAGAGAGAGAGGCCCCTCTAATCTTCCGTACGTCTAGGCGAGATTCCGTACGGCGGCGGGCGAACGGCACACGTTCGGCTCGAATGCCTCCTCCGCGAGCGACGAAAATCGAAATACAAGTACATACGGGGGTTGTAATCGATTATTGCGCAACCGTAAATCTCGCGTTTCGTCCCGCCGTGGATGCGACGCGGAAGAATAATTAATTTAAACGATACTGTCGGGAGCGTTAATGTCCAGCTCGTCGATTTATCAATTATATACGACGTGTAATTAAATATAACAATTAGTGCAAGAATAAAACAGTAAGGATCGTTAATATATCGGAGAAAGAGAGAGAAAAAAAGATTTGGAAAGGGGGGGGGGGAATAATAAATGGAAAGTTTAACGATTAATAATTTAAGCGGGTAATGATATTTGATCGCATAATTGTTACCGGTTCTTTCGAACGTCGCTAAGCTCTAATGTAAATGTAAATATATGTAATATTCCATTTCCAGTAAGCAAAAGTCATTAACACGACGTCATTACGATGATGTTTTATAACATGTTACGTTTACAAACATGTAATTCTTAATATCGTGTACAACATCATTAATAATATTTGATCCAAACATTACAAATATTATTCTTACACTACAACTTTAATATTTAGGAATATTATATCACCAAGTAACAGTTTAAATCGTTCATAAAGTATTATGTCAAAATATGGATTTATAAAATCCAACGTTTCACAAGATTGATTTAACGTTTCTTGCTTACTGGGTTACTTCTTCCAAACATAAAACTGTGCGAGATAAATCTCATTGTTAGATTTGTCGAACCAAGCTTCGTGAAATTCGACTAGGGCCGAAAGTCGCGGGTAATAATAATACCGCGGCTTCAAACGCAGCGAAATCATTTCCTCGACAGCGAGCTACCAGGGATAAAATACCGTAGAGCCGCCGCTCGGTCGGTAGAGAGCCGATGATCGAGGCGATCATCGAATCGCAGAGTCATCGGGCATACGTCTATCCTCGTCCGCGCGATGACGAGGCCGCACCGTGACGAACCGTATTGGGAGTGTCTACATCTCCCGGCGGTACTTTTGATTCCCAAACCCGCGACCCGCTGCCGAGAGCGGACAGCCTGCAATGTGGAACGCGTGTCCTATTCGGAATCCCGCGCGCGGCCGGGGGAAAACGAGGCGAACTTCGTACATGGGAAAAACAAGCGAGCCGTGTAAGGTCCCGTCTATTACGAGGTCTCATGAACGGCCGAAGAGAATGAAAATGAGAGACATCATCCTTCGGTACCAGCGTCTGTGTTCCTTCTACGTGACGCGCCGCGTCAGGAAAATCGAGTCGGCGGCGCGTCACGTAGCAAGACAGAGAGCCAGAACTGAATGACGCTGTATATTATTGCCAGAAGCGACCGGTCAAAAGACGGATATAATTTGCAAAAGTATCAAGGATCTGCGAAAATTCGTCGGTGATTTCATCGACCCGAGAGTCGATGAGTCACTTTACAAACACGGAATCAAATGATCACTTGTGAGATAGCGGAATTGGCAGACATCCGGTCCGGTTCTACGGAAAAGCGAAATGCAACTAACGGAAGTTCAACGTATAAATTGCCAAGAGGGATATTCAGCGAATGTCTCGACGAGGAAACGTCTTCGCCAGACGGGGCGACCATTCGCTGGCAGTATCGAGAGTCGCACTACTCGAGCGGTAACGTGAAACATCTCCTTCACCGGAAACGATAAAAGATCTCGGATAACTTTCAGAATAGATTGCCGCTTCTCTCGACAAGTTCTACTCGAACAATCGGCGTAACGAGCTGCGCTCGGAATTCGCGCTGTCCGTTCGTCCTACCGTCGTGAAAGAAACAGAAAATGATACAAAAATTCCCGATGTCCGCCGGAATTGCGGCAGGTGTGCTCGCGCGGAAAGATTGGATAAGTTGGAATTGTTGTTGTCCTACGCTCGTTCGTCATTGCAACCTGTCACGAGACGAGTGACGAGAAGCCAGAAAACCTTGCTCTCTCTGTTTCTCTTTCCCTCTCCGTCCTCGGCGCGACCTGATATTAAAACGAAATCGGCGATACGTTATTTGCGTTCGGCCGGGTCGCGCGCGCACGGCATAAAATCGACCTAACAACCGGAGATGGGACGGCGGAGGCAGCATGAAGAAACGATGGAAAAAGGGAAAAGAGGAGAGAGGGACGGCGGGAGCGAGGAGAAGCGGACTTCCGCTGAACTGATTAGAGCTCTCGGGGTTTCTTCGGGGAAGCCTCGCGATGGAATGCGTTGGAACCTGGTGGACGCACATCACGAACGACGTTTCGCTCGCGATCGTTATCCAATTTCTATTTAAACGAGAGTATTAGAAGTCGATCTCCCGTCGGTTCCTCGTCGGCGGGGAACTTCGACCGCGCGGTTTCGCGAATGCATTTTAGCAGTGAGAATAAGACGGCGATATTTTCAGATTATCTGCAGAAGCAACAAGAAGATTTGTAAAAGTCCTTAATTATTTAATTGTTTTCTCAATAGCGTAGCATTTATGTATATTTTGTTATTTCCTCCGCATAATTTCATAAAAGGCCGATACTGAAATCCTTATTATGTCACAAATTGTTTGTTTACTTTCATTCAGAACTTATAGCATTGTTCTAATCAGTGATTTACTCACAGCTGGACAATGAATATTATAGTTTTTTGTGTGAACGGTTATTATATATACTATCTGATTATAAAATTAAAAAATGTTTGTTACGATAACGCGATTTTAATAAACACGTAATTCCGTTAAGCTTTGCGCGTATCCTCAGTGTTTCATTTACTAAAAATATTATGCATCGCGAAGCGATTCTTACGGTCGGCGATACCGATTCTGGGTATTTCGAGCTGCCAGAAACGAAAAGTGGGCCAAGGGATCGCTAACCTAACCTAACGGTTTTACGACAGCCGATATTTTGTTAATTTTCGAGGAGAAACGTAAAATTCAGGTAGAAAGATAGACGAGGACAAAAGAGGAAGCTGAGGGAAAGGGAGGTAAAGAGGAAAAGAGACGCGGACGAGAGCAGAGATCACTGCCTCGCACGAGAGCACTGCCTCGCAGCAGTGTTCGGTTTCCTTGGAGTATCGACGGTAATGATACGCTGTTCTCTACCTTCCTGAAAAAGGGGAGAATGCGTCACTGTAACCAGAATTCGAACTCTCGCGGATCATCAACAACTTCCAAGGAAGAAAGCATCTATCCACCTTTCGACCCGGAATCGGAGGAACGACTTTTTTTTTTAAACTACGAATGATATTATCGATCTTACTTGCACACATCGCAATAGTTGCAAACGCAACCATTTCGACTCTTATTAAAATAAGGGATATTTAATGCCAATAACAATTGGATATTATGTCTGATCAGTAATGTAAGACATCTTTTACACGGAGAAAAATAATTGCTAGCATAGCAAATTTTAAGTTGTCGCAGCGAAATCTGTCAGTTATTATGTAGACAGCGAAACGATTATTAGTAGTATTAATCGCTATTCGCTTATTATTTTGCTGAATTCATAAATTATCTTAGCGTAAGGCGAAATTAGTAAATGCAGGAAAATACTATGTTGTTTTAATAGCAAATTAATGTGTCTTCTAAGGACAAATTCACTCGGAAGAGTCTTTTTATCCCAGCAACGAAACTATTTCTGCTCTAATTACGAATAATTCGTTAATTTAATTATGTCTACTAAATTTTATTGCTGTCGTAACGAATATGCAATGAAGCAACGAAGTAACAATAGCAAAATTACTTTTCTCCGTGAAATATGCTCTGTGTGTGTGTGTGTTGTGTGTGTGTGTGTGTGTGTGTGTGTGTGTGTGTGTGTGTGTGTGTGTACGTACGTACGTATATTCTTCAATTTTAAACCAATTTAAATTTAATAATCGACATTATATGTGCTATCTTTTATGAATTATAATTATCTTTACGTCACTTTAAGAAGCAAGTCGCATTATGCTACAGCATCAAAATCGATAAATATTCATTGAGGACAAATTTTTAGAGAAGCAAAAAAAGAGAGAGAGAGAGAAATACTGCGAATATACCGATTAAATCCAAAATAACAAGTATATTTATATCTCGAAACTGTTTCCTTTTCCGGCTGACAATCAATGCCATTCGAAATGCCAACCGGCCGTCGCGATTGCGCAACGCCAAGAATTCCGAAGGCCGGCGAAAAGAATCCTTCCGGACCTCCCTTCCCTCCCTGGCCGCCGTTGTCGCCGCGGTCTCTAAGAGCCTTCCACGAACGACACGACGCCTAATCAGACCGCTCTCGTTCATCGTATGTTCCAGGTCTGGTTTCAGAACAGGCGGGCCAAGTGGCGCAAGCAAGAGAAGGTCGGGCCGCAGGCGCACCCCTACAACCACCCGTACCTGAGCTCAGGTGCGCCACAAACGTCGCCGGTTATGACACCGACCTTGCCGAACCCCTTCGCCCACCTGGGTTCCTTCGCTCTCAGGAAGCCCTTCGACGCCTTTCGCTATCCGCCGCTGGGTCACGGCCCGGTCCTCCCCGGTAGTTACGCCGCGCATCCCTATCATCGCGCACCGCCGCCGCTGCTGCCGCCCGGTATGCCGCTGCCGTATACGTCCGCCGCCTCCTTCCAAAGTCTGTTGGCGAATATATCAGCAGCGCAAAGGCCGAAGCTGGTGCGCGGCTCGCCGCCACCGTTGCCACCACCGGCACCTGCGATCGCCCTGTCGCATCCACCTGTGGCACCGCCACCTCCGCCGCCACCGACGGCTGCCTCTCCTCAGAGCTCGCCTACGGGCAGCGTGGGGCTGCCGGACATAGACAGGAGGACCAACAGCATCGCCTCCCTCAGACTCAAGGCTCGCGAATACGAGCTGCATCAGGAGATGATGCGTAAGAACGGCGATCTCATAAGTTGAGGTGTCGCTTATCAAGGTAGAACCGCGCGCGCGACGGCGAGATTGCGCTGAGTATCGGCTAAGAACGGTCGTGGAATGGATGATGTCGCGTGATCTCCGGGGAGGATCGAGTGAGAAACAAGAGGCAAGTAACAGTCAGATGTTGCTGGTGTCGGAGCGATACAATATTTAATGAGAAAAAAGAATGTTTACGTTTAAGAAACAGACGTTTCCAGGGGAGAATCACCGAGAGGGATGTTGAGAGAGTATATCTCGTGTATGCATGCATTTTAGTTGGTTGGTAAAGGCTGAGTTTGCTCAATGTGACGCGCGATTTGAACGAAACATCAAAATATTCTACCGAACGTCGCACGCATTGTGATGAGTGCGACATTCGACTTATATATGACGATGTTTACTGATCACGTAATGTTAAGTCACATTGGTTATAGCCATCGATGTAAGAACACCTGAGCCAAGGGAGAGTATAATTGGTAGTAAAGGGAAAGTTACGATTCTTTCAGATATATTCGACTTTTGTGTCAGTTCGCACTGAGACTGAAATGTTCGTACCGAACTGATGTAGCATTTTTGAACTGGGTTGTATTTTGTAGTTTTAGAATGAAACAAATACATATCCTAGCACGTTGGAAGAAAAAGAAAGAAAGTTCTAAGTATTAATTTAGCTGGAAAAGAACAGGTCGTACGTCGCTAACGTTAATTGACATTAATTTATCGTAAGGTTATCGATATTTTTATTATATTTTCATGATCGATTATACCATAGACAGGCATAATAATTTTAAATCAATGATTAGATTATTGGTTTTGCAATTGTACGCATTATTGCGCAGTCAATGGTCCAATGAGAGAACTTAACTTCTGGGAATTAATCAAAAACAAGCTACAAACTGCTCCATTGTAAAAAGTGTTCCATTCGTATTGAAACCAAGTACACGTACTCAATTCAAGATATTCTTACATCGACGGTTATAGTTTTGATGCAAATGTTTGCCAACAACGGATATGCTCAGGCGAAAGAATTTTGCGAAGTGAGTGAGAGCGGTTGAACGGATCTCTCAAGTACCACAAATTGTACAACATTTTTCGCATGACAAAAGTCAACAAAATCCCTCTCGTCGATGAAAAAATCATCTGATTGATTGTTATTTGCTTAAACATCCTAATTGCATCGAATTCTCACAAATTTGGGTAAAAAATAATTGAACAATATAAGAATAAAGGACGATAACGTTTTAACCATGTAATGTACGGTCATTCTCAGCCGAAATTGATATAAACTATGGACGATTCTCGGCCATGAGCAACGGTGTAGATCTTATAACGCGTGTAAAAAATATCATACTTTCAGTTGAACTTGTTGACGGATGTGCAAGCAATCTTATGAAAATAATCATCAATATCTTTCCGGAGTTGATAGATCATTTTCATCCTTAAGAAAAAACTGTAATGCAATTGGCTCTTATATACAGTTATATACAGTTTTCAAGTCGCTTCTTTTCCTGAAGAAATAAACTGAAATATTCACGAAAAAAATTCATAAATTCAAATCGAGCAATTGTCGTTCATTGTCCTTGATTCTTATATTAACTTTAACTTTAATCGAAGATACATTAACTTTAATCGAAGAGCCTTACAATTATTTACTTAATACGTTCGCAACCAGCCTTACACATATACGATCTCTCACGAGAAACCAGCGTCATATATGTATGACAGCAATTTTTTTTAAATCATACATTATCAAACTAAGTCTATTTTATACAATTATGTGAAAAAAGAACGAAGGGATTTGCGGGGAAGCGAGCCTTAAATAAATCGCGGTAGCGAACGTAATAAAGAATAATTGATGGCGATGAAATTTGGCCGGGACTACTTTTGTTCATCATTCGCTATGACATCGCACATGCAGAACGCGAAACAAGCGTCACGGGATAACGTGTGCAGCTTGAACGGAAGGGAAGGAAGAGTGAAATCACCGTTACTCATGTACCATATACGTAATTCGCAGTATTCGGTATGCGAGGAAACTGATACAACTGCGCAAATCGAAAGGCTCGCTCATGCGTATATCGTTTGAGTCTGTTTCACACGTGTCGAAAAATAGATTTCTCAATTAACTCGTATAATTAGTGATCACATCGACTCTCACTGAGATTCGTCTCTAGCATATTATACAATGAATTTACTAGACGCACCGATTGCGTCTATGACACGGACAGAAGTTCTCCTCGAAGCTCTGTAAGCTTCCTATCCGAAAAAATTTGTCGTGGGACAATTGAGACATTAGACTAATATAATGCGGATCGTTGAATACGCGTGAAACAGATTCTAATCTTAGCAGGATCGTGTTCCGAGTTGCATAACGCGCATTGAATGAAAAAATGTTAAAAATAAAAAATATTTATTCCACAAATACTAATAAACATTTCATTTGTAATAATATACATATTTTTAAACTAAGAAAAATTTCTTCTTAAATGAGAAAATATACATTTTCTTCAAATCGAAGCTTTTCATGAAAGCAATTGTTTACTCTATTTCAATAAAAAGATTTCGATTATCGAATTTCGAATATCGATTTCAGAAAAAAATGTTATTAGTTACCGAATAAATATTTATTACTTTTTAGAAATTTTTCTTCCAATACGGCAGATCCCGTTAAGATGGTGTCGTTAATCGGCTGTTAAAGACATCGGCGAGTGTGCAAACGTGATATGAATTCGTCGCGTGATTGATAACGAGAAACGTATTGTTTTACGAAACAAACTTGTGAAAATCCGCAGCGATATTTTACAGACGATAAAAATTTGGACAAACAATCGGACATCCTTTATGAATCTGCGAAAATTAATAAATCGCATAAGCCGTTGTTTTCTCGTTGAAAAATCACAGACGACAATAGTAGCCACTCGCGATTCCAAAGTGATCATCGAAAAGTGTCCGTCCACGAGAACTTCGACGTCGCGATGGGAAATATCGAAATTCTGAAAATTATTTACTTAACTCTCAAGTGGAAAATAATAAATTTCGAAAATGGAATCACCGGTGTTCTCGTCGCGATCGACAAGACCTCGCACATCGTTGATCGTTAATCGGCGATCGCACAAAGCGAAAGAACGCGCGTAGTTTTACTTACTTTTACACATCATACGTTATATACTTTTAGATAACGAAGAGAGAAAGATATACTATTTATATATAAATCTATATACTTTATTTACAATTGAAATATATTCTACGCTATCCGCTGTAGGTTTACGACTGCATACTTAGAGCGTAAGACGCCTTGTAAATAACCGTGACGACCGGCATTTTTAACGAGGCCTGCAATCAACCTGTTTCCGTTTTTGTAATGATGGACGACACATATGCGTAGCTATATCGACGATGCGGCTACTTCTCGATCGCATTTTCATTTTCGATCTCATCGTCAATGATCCACCCATGAAATCTTTGGCACTAAACTGATTTCACAAGACGAACGACAAGAGCCCTAACAATAGCCAAGCTTGACAACGTAACGATCGTGCAACGGAGGATGTAGAAATAATAAATTGAATTGTGCTTTTCCCTCTCGTAGGGTAATCAAATGTGATTGAGATCGAGATTGAAGAGACGGCGTTATCGAGCCGAATATTTCTCAAACCGAACCAGCCCTCTATGTGCATTGTACTTACTCTTATAATTACCTCTTTATCCCTTCTTTGCGATGAATAAATGATTACGATCAAGAGAACGCGTACGTTATTGAGCGATCCTGTCACTGTCCCAGCATTTGAATAATTTTACAAGTTTAATTTAAGTATTAACAAGTTTAATCCCTTTCTTATGATATATGACATTCTAATTTCCAATTCCAGATCTTGCGATAAATTTAATAATAACTTTTCCTTAGTAAAAATCTTACAATATTTCTGGTTGAATTAATTAAAAAGACACCTGCCGGTGATTCTATGATACAATTTAGATAGAGCAGTGTTGAAATATTCTCACACCGAATTAATCGCGTTTGTAAACGAAGATAACTCAGACGTTTCTATTATCACGGCTGGATAATGGACATGATTTTCGCTTGTCCGAAATTTGGGCGTATTGAAATTACGCGAGTTTAATCATTGTTTCAATGCCGCAAGGAGATGCGCGTCGGATAGCGATATTAATTTACAGGCTCGTCAGCTTTCCGAAAAATACCCCATTAACTCGCACATATATTAAGTGTTCTTTCTCTGTCGGAGGGCCGCGCTCGAGGAGTCTCTCGGGACTGACTTACGGCGAGTAATTCGCGGCCGGACACGCCCGACCGACGAGTTATTTAAATATTTTACAGTTTAATGGAGTCCCGGGCCATTAACGGGCGTCAGCTAATTAGTAACGTATCCCGGCATGTAAGAGCGCGCAAGCATATACTCTCGAGAAGGCTCCCGCTAACGATCGGTCGATAAATCGAACGTTCGCCGACAAATCGGCTTGCCGATCGGGTCTGACGTGCAGCGGCGGATTTAAAACATCCCAGATCGTCCAAGACGGAGTATAACTTTCGGCCTCTCCTTCCCCCGTCCTTCCATAGATGATAAAAATGTCCATTGAAATTTAAGTAGGCTCTACTTTCGCGGAATTTTAATTTGCAATTTAATCAACGAGAAGCGCTTAAAATTTTCTCGACGGAAAAATCAGTCTGAGATTCATCGAAGAACTCGCTATTAAAGTTATTATTTCCCTCCCCCCCCCCCTTACTCTTTTTTTTGAACGTGCGAATGCGAGCACGTTGAAACGGAAATTCGCGGACGGACGGATGAAGAGTAATGTCGCCGGTATATTGGATTGGAACTAAACGCATTTTAATGATATGTCGCGAAACGCGTCTTAACGATACGCTACGACAACGATGACATTCGATCGATCGCGCTCGCGGTCCAGTTTCCTGAAACCATTAGAACGCTGAGAGCATGAGTATCAGGACTGCGGTTTCTTTTTCGAGAGAATGCCAGGATTACATCGATCGCGATCATAAATTTAGCGCAAAATCACGATATTATAGCTGCCGTCGATTGAGGATTGGTATTAGAAATCGAACGTTAATGCTGGGAATTACGTGGCCGCTTTATCGCGATATATAGGAGCTAGTTTGCGAGAGTCATCGTATGTACGAGAAACGTTATTACGTATTCCGCGATAATCTTAAATGAGTATCAAACTACACACGCTTAAATTACATATTTCGACTGCATCTACATCGCTCGTGTATCACAATAATTGTGACGACGCGATCCTTCAAGTACGTTCTTTGATTATTATATGCGTCTCGCGGACTACTTTTCTCAAAGATGGCAACAGAAAAAAGACGAAAGAATAATATAAGGCACAATCGACGCGCGACCTTGAACAAAACGAACAATCAAGGAAAGAAAACTCTGAGAAGGTTACAGGAAATTTTATATTCGTGAGAAATATATATATATAGTGTTTCAATGTAACTGTTCCGGGCAAATATCTCACAAAATATGGAAGATACAGAAATAGAAAGTTTCAAACAAAAGTTGTAGAGTTTGGACGAGCACATAAATTAATTACTTTAACTTCGTTGCATAATCAATAATTTAAAGTCAACTTCATTTTTTTTTTTTTAATATAATCATATAATTTCTTTTTAACACAAATTGATTTCTCTGTTCATTCTGCGTATAAAAGTACTAAGGTGAAACCATCGAGAAGTGAGTACTTTTTGAAATATTTTGCTTTTTATTCGGATATTTTTCAGTATATGATATGAAATATTTCATAAAGCATTTTTCGATAACTTGGACTTAATATTTTTGTACATAGAATGACAGGTGGAATTGACCGCTGTAAGCAAACATAAAGAAACTTAAAAAAAGTTCATTGCGTTTTGTGAATGTATTGATATAATAATGTGCAATGATTAATATCAATAATCGATTTATCTCATATCATTATGTAGAAATATTAAGGTGATGTATCGAAAAGTGAAAAGGACATCTTTAACCTTCTCCGAGATTTTTCATTATTAATTCCTCTTATTCAAAATCGCGTGTTTCGATTGCATGTTATGCCACGATATTATTCTTCCCGTTGTATCATATATTTATTTTTTATTTTCAGTCGCCTCTTTTAATCGTTGCTTCTCACACGAGAAGCCACGCTAATTTTCCGCGTTGATCCGCAGATGTGTCATTCCCGAGGAAAGTCGGTCGACGGGAAGCCGTGGCGGTTTCGCGAACGATGGTAGTAGCTGCCGATCGCTAAATTCATTTCGATGTGAACGGTTATTAGGTGGCTAGAGCCGGTGTAAAACGTCGTCGTAATCACCGGTTACTAACTAACTGGCTGTATCCCCCCCTGCCCCACCTCGCTCCCGCATCCTCTCGCGACGTGCACGCGCATATACGCGGATTCGACGCCGCGGGCACCGTCGATACTGTTTACACCGTAGTAATTTGCTAATGGTCAGGCCGACACGATGAATTCGGGATCGGGTTAGCTGCGTGGTCTGCATTCCCGATCGCGGCGGGATCGACGACGCGGCCCGAATGATCGAGGATCGATCACGCAGAAGGAGGAAGAGGAGAAGGGGAGAAGGAGGTGGTGGCACGCCTCCACCGATCGATCGTGCCAGCGTCTCGCGTTCGTATTACCGATCTATTCCGGGCCGCAATTTGCGTCGATTATCCCTTTCGTTTACCGTGACCGCTTATCGCACCGGTCGCATTTTCGACGATAACCGTAGAGACAAGGCAATGAACTCATGTCTGCGTTACGTCACGTTTTTCACATATGTTCCTTCCGTGTGCCTGCGACTTCCTTCCGAAATACGTAATGTATTCGCGAAAGCATATTTACACGAGAACGCGTCCTTTCCTGACTAGAGGCCGGTTTGAATAAGGAATATTTTTTAAAGAGAAATATATCGGAGCGCCGATCGTATTCGAAGATGAGTAATTGGAAAATTTCACGGCTTACGTATCTTTTGTTCGACTTTAGATGCACGTCACGTTAATGGAACTGTAATTGGAATTTAAAATGGATTCTCTTGCGAGCGGACAGAAGGTGTTGGCGCTATTATCCGCGACGGCATCGAGATGGTTCAACGACGTTCGATCTCTCCGCGTCGATAAATCCGCGGAATCTCGCGTCTCGGCAGCGGCGCTTCATCTAAATGCTCCTCGTTGCTTTTTCTCTCTTTCTCTCTCTTTCTCTCGCTCCTTCTCTTTCGCATCCTCGCGCGCAGCACGCGCAAGGCTTTATCCGGTTAACAATCCCTAATTACGGGGTTCCTCGTAACTAACTCGGTTAACGTGGAGAGCCCCCCTCATCCCGATTACCCCCCGAGCCGCTCGCCTATCATCGCGATGGATGCAGATTAACCGGTCGCCCCGATCTCTCGGGACCCTCGCTTTAACTTCCCGGCACCGGCTTCCTTCGTTCGCCGATGCATTCGATTTCGCGTATCCTACCATGCCCCCTCTCTCTCAGGGCCGACAAGTT